TTTTTTTTTAAATTATGTCGATTCAGCTTAACTTCTACTGAACCTGGAATATTCTTTAAAACCAGTTGAATTTCACTCACTTTGTCACTTAGACAATACACCTAATTAATGGAAAAACAGGTTAAGTGTTGCAATGCGCTGGCAAAGCATCAACAAGTATGTTTGTGCACTTCCATGCCATACATTACTGTGCAGCTGCTTGAAAGCAATCTTTATAAAGCACTATGAAAAATAAAGGTGACTTGACATTTCTGGCTTTCATCTGATTTATGTTTTAACATTCTATTTAAAATAATTTTTGAGGAGAATACCACCTTATTTCTGTGATAGCAGCGTACCTCTCTGATGCTGGCATCACACACTCTGATGACGTTGAGAAAGGTGGGCATAACTTGAGGCAGGAACTGCACACATTTCAGTCCGAGCGATTTGAAAATGAAGGTGACGGCCTGCACCACCATGGTGTGATGATTGGACAGTGACGGGTCACGCAGGATGCGCATCAGAGTCACTATGGCAACTGCTGGGTAAAACTCGTCTAGTGGCAGGTTGCCCATGTTGACCAGCATCTCACTGGTACTGTAGTCAGCTGTTCAGAAAAACATCATCCAAAATGTCAAATGTGACAAAAGTCATTACATTTTGCATGAAGAATTTTAAGCCTTTCATTTGGTTGGTCACTTCAGAGTTTGTTGTTTGCTTATCTTATGTTTGCAATTCAGCTGTGAAACTTGTAAAGTCATACACTCATACACAAAAAGTTACATTTAATATCTTTAAGATACTAAAAGGCACCCTTTAGAGGTAAATAGGGTACAAATGTATATTTTTTGAAAGGGTAACGCCCCAGTGTTCCCAACACCTTTTAAAAAGTAATTTAAGGAATAAAAACATGAAGATATCAGAGCAGTTAGTAAATTGCAGGATTCGTGGTTGCACAACTACAGTACACTATGTGACCCAGGAGGCAGCACGGCCTGCTACTGACCACTTCCTACAGTCATAAAACTCTACCACACATACCTCTGTTAAAAACAAACTATATCTGTGTGTGAATGTGTGTATATATCTGAATGATGTAATGCAGTCATCTGTTTCCCATACACAGCAGGCCGTGCCCTAAAATATATGTGCCATTTGATGTGGGGTTAACAGGCGATCTGGAATTGTTTGACTGCGCTTAAGGGTTTCAAGTCCTTTCATTTGGTTTACAGTGGCAGACACTGGGGTGTCTAAGGACCTGTTTCCACCTGGTATTAATATGAATTGTCGGAGATCTGATCACAAGCGGTTATCCGAGACACATTGCTGTTTCTACCTCCTGTGACCACTCACTCATTCGCTTTAGAGAGCGTGCATGAAAGATGGAAATTAATGCAACATACTGCTCCATTTTGAGACAGACTCTTTAAAAAGAATTATTTAAAATACACTGCGCACTAAAAACGTGACGCAGAGTGCTGAACAGTCTACATGCTTATTAGGATTATTATGGTAATCTACAGACAGTGCAAAACCATATGCTTCTCATGATGTGCATTCTTCCCCCGATCTTGGCAGAATATTATATAAAAATATTCTGACAGTCTTTCCTGAACTAGTCAGTCAGGAAATGAAAAGACAGGAAAAACTGTGACAGACTAAATTCAAAAGAATTGGTAACATCTCCAAGATGATTTTCAGAAATCTATCTGCAAAGCTACCTTAAAAACTATGTGCAAATGTACCTTGATCAAATGCTGTTTTAAGGCAAAAGGTGGTCACACCAAATATTGATGTGATTTAGTAAACAGAAGTTAATAGAAATAATGACATTATTTTTGGGAACATCAAAGTGTTTCACAGTACTGTAGCTTCTAGAAATGCTGCCAAAGCTCTTATGGATTCAGTCTGTCTCTGTTTTCTTCTGTCTTCTCATGAGAGTCATAGTATGTGCTTGTATTTAAGAAATAAAATACCAGTAATAAAAGTCTTCTAAAGAAGCTACTGACCAAAATGATTCAAGATCCTGACAGCTACATATACACTTTTTTTCTGCCCACCATTAACATCACTCACTGAGCTCACCTTCAGCTCATAAAACTTCCCATTGCTCTATTATTACAATAAGAGGGTCAGCAGGCAGTTCTCTGCCTGTGAGAAGAGGCTTTCTCAAAGTGGGACTAGAGTAAAAGTGGAGACCCAGATGGTAACTAACACTTTATCCCTAATGCATCACTCGGGAGATATCCACACTTCCTGCAGCACGCTTCTTTATGAAGCCCTGCTGTTAAAACTATTCATTCTCTCTGCTGCGTAACAGGAGAGGGTCTGAGCTGGTGGACTCTGATACTCTGAACAACGGCCAAAGAGGCCAGACACATGCCATGAGGAGCTTTAAGGGATCCAGAGCTCCAAGTAGACCTAACACACGTATGGCCTAACAAAGGCGACAGAACCTCAAAGTCAGTTTAAAATGCAAGAGGTTTCATATTCTAGAGCAGTGGTTCCCAACTAATGAGCTGACAAGTTGAATTAGGTTTGTTTGATTAAGCAGACAGTGTTGGGATACTCCAGGAACATGGTTGGGAACCACTATTCTAGGGTACATATTGGGCTGCGTCTGAAAGCTTAGGCATCTGACTTGTTGCCCTGCTACCCTATCAGGCAATAATTTTGCAGTCAGCGTTTGAGGATGAAGGTACCTTGTGAAACTGATTTCGGATATTTACACACAAATTGACTACTAACTGCAACTTTCAGACTCCATCTTTATGTTTAGCTCAACTGTCATGGAATGGAAAGCACAGGATTGTGGGATACCATAGGCAATGAAGGACACATCTGTATCTGTATGCTGCCTTGAAAAATCGCTCCGATGAAGGTATGACATGAGCAGGATGTGACATGAGCATTGAATTTGGACATGTTACATCCTGAGCATGTTGCCTTCCTACTTCCTTATGCAGGGCCGGACTGTAGGGGTGGGCGATATAGCCTCAAAATTATATCACGATATTTCAAAAATATTTGCGATAACGATATTTATGACGATATAGAAAAAAAAAAACATGGAACAACGTTTTATTGGTGATTGCAGCTGGCAGGCAGCAGCATTTATTAGTGCAAACAAAATGAAGCTCATCCTTTTCCAATGAGCTACTGTCATCGATGACAGACTACCTAATTCGAAGTTTAAATCTATTGTCATAAGGTGGCAGCAGCAGCTGTGTGTTCGACTTGAAGCAGACCGATCGGTGTATGACATCAAAATACCGCGTGAGTGACTTACCCCTTATTTACCCCTAATTTACACTGCACGCGTCTGCGGCGCATTATGGCTCCGATGCGGCCACTCTAGTCAATGCTTGTGTTTACACCAGCGGAGCCGCGGCACGTTTCAGAAGCGTCCCAGAAGTGGCTCTCCGCGCCGCTTCGCTAAAGATATGCGCTTCGCCTATATAAATAATTAAAGGTTTTTGAACTGCACCTTCACTTCCCTTTTCTTAATTTTCCCCAATATCTGTCTCTTCCTCTTTTTTCTTGTACCTGTCACTTCTTCACCAGCAGGTCTACTGTTATGAACAGAACAACTGTGTCCACTTTGTTGCAAAACAACCACCTCATTGCAATTCAAGACTAACCAGTCAAGACTAACCGATTTATGATTTATTATCGATTCATTATCGAATGACAAAATCGGAAATGATGACTTTGGTACATTGGGAAGGAAAAAATATAAAATATTAATGATAATAATAATAACTAAAAAACAAACAAAAAAAAAAAAACAGGGCAGCAGGCCAAATTAAGCCGCCAGGCCTGCTGCAGAGGCAGGATTTTTTCAGCTTTCAGACACAGCCTCAGTGTCCCACAAAATATTTGAAACAAATCCCATGTCCTATTTAACATAGATAGCAAGTAGTTTTAAGCACATGATATGCATGTACACTCTTATATAAAAATTACAAATTATCACACTACAGTGTAATTGGCATGATCTGTTTTACTTATAACCAATTTATGGTCAAAAAAATGTTTATGATTAACTATAATTACCAAAACTTAATTTTTAGCTGTGTCTCATATTTTGCATACACCCATGTTACTGCTTAATTTCCCCCATTAAAAAATAAATAAATAAAATAAAAGTATACATTAGGGCTGTGCGATAAAGAAAAATGCGATATGCGATAACTCATTAAATAATGCGATATTCGATATGCGATACGATGATGCTTAAAGTGCCACATGCTCAGATGAAACAGTTTTACTCAGCTGTTGCTGAGTCAGTTCTGTGAACTTCTATAACTATCTTGTGTCATATATATATGGTTATTTGTATGTATGTATGTACCAAGAGTTCCTGTAAAACCACAACAAATTCCTTGTGTTTGCGCACACTTAAGCGGTGAATAAAGCTCATTCTGATTCTGATTCTAATAAGAAAGCACCCCTACAACAACTTATGAAAGTGAACGGTAGTGTTATACTCGAGCATTACATAAAAATGTCATTTTAACATTAGTGTAATCATTTTAACATGAGTTTAGGAACTGAATAATAAAAAGGAAAAATAAAAAACTGCTTAGAATTTACTCTTTGAATTCAATATGCACTGATTCTTATTTAAGCTACAAAAGTTATTTAGGTAAGAGCAGTGAGTGATTTTCTCTTTGTCTTTTGTTCATGGCCCCAAATATTGCAAGCTGTAGCGATATGCATATTGTGATGTGTACATTTGCGATATTTCGATAATTTCGATATATTGCACAGCCCTAGTATACACTCAATTTTCTTATTTTTTATACAAATTGTGCTGACTGCATTAATCAAGCTCATTAAATAAATAAATAAATAAAAATCTGTAAATTTTGGAAAAACATCACTTGAACATTGTTTGAAGCACTTCCTTTCAAATAACTGTTGCACCCACATTCGTGGAAACTGGCATTCAATGACAGGAGCCGAAATCAGTACCTCTCTCCTAATCCCCTGGTTCTGTTCTGTCTTCAGGAAGTTGAGTAGCACCTCCAGGAGAGACGGATACTTCCTGTATGGCTCCACCACATACCCAGTACTGGCTACTTGTTGACCCAGAGTCCAAAGTGCCACCTGGTGGGAGAGAAGATGATCAGTGTGTTATTGTGTACATTAACATCTTTCATTTATTCATTTAGCAGGTGCTTTTATGCAAAGTGACTTATAAATGAGGAATATAACAAGTGATTTATAATTAGGGTTGGGTATCGTTAGAAATTTTCCGGTTCCGATTCCAGTTCCAGTTTTACCTAACGATTCCGGTTCCATTTAAATGAACTATTTTATTTATTTTTTTACTATTTTACCTTAATTGAATGTAGTGTTGGCTGGAAGGTAGTAAGTAATGTTGAGTAATGCATGTGCTTCAAAGTTGATGTTTTTTACACTATCAATAACATTTTGCTTTTCAAGCAGGAATAAGCTGGTTGGCCAAATAGTCCCTTGAGGGCTAAGACACTTGTTCATTTCCCTAAATAAATGAAATATTATACTTATAACCATGTATACACACACTGCATAAAGCCCCTATTTTACAAATAATAATGCAGTCAGGAGATGGTGATGCAATGAGTGGTTTCCACATTTTTAAACATTTAAAATGCATGAAAATATTTTCTATCACTTTGTTTATCACTCTTGAAATGACCTGTACACTAAATAATCTAACCCTCATACTTGCATAACAATAGCAGTCTATTTATTTAGTGGTCCAAGTTGAAGTCAGTATGTATATTAATGACAATATGGGACAAATATAATGTAATTTAGTGGCAGCAGAAGCTGCGTGCTGCCGAACATGTACAGTCAGACAAAACAACGTGCACATTTATCAAAGACGCGAGTGCGCGTACAGTCGTGGAAAACGATGTGTTCGGCAGTTAAAGACGCGGCGCGTCTGTGGAGTGCGCGTCATGGGAAACAATGTGCTCAGTAATTAAAGAGGCAGGGCGGCGTTTCTGTTATTTGGTTTGTGACATCCTTTACGGGAAACGCCGGCGCAAGGCTGCTCACAGCGCTTGGTCACGTGTCGCACCAGAACCGTTTTCGGAACCGAAACTTAGAAATTGCTCACAGTTCCGGTTCTTTTCAAAAAACAGAACCGGGTCTGAATAAGAACCGGTTATCGGTTCCCAACCCTATTTATAATAAGGAGGTAGTTTTTGGAGTCAGTAGGATGCAGTTAAGTGCTCACAGAATTTTTGAGTTGTTTCTTGAATATTGTCAGGGCTTCGGCTGTCTGGATAGGTGTACTTGCATATTTTATGTATTTTATTGACTTTAATACATTCAGTTTGGTCTTTAACACTCCTAAATGCTGTGTCATTAAATTAGCTTCACTATCCATTTATTAGTTTTATTAGATAGTGTTTTTAATGAGGAAAAATTGAGTGCTGTTTTATTGAGAAAACATCTTTTAAAATTGATCCAGAAAGTCAAATAAAGCCCCAGACACAGTTCAGAGCAGGTAAAGTATTTAGTTACATGAGCTTCTGTGAACTTCGGGTAACCTAAAACTAACTAAATCATCCAAACTCTATAACACTCCTGATTGCTGAAGCAGAATCCGACAACGTCATACCAAGAATGAAAGCCTTGTGTAAAGTTGTGTAAATGTTAAGGACATTGGACTGCACCGCATAACAGTACTGTAAAACCTTTCAGACTCAAAGCATGCACTCTAGAGTGCCTCCAAATATTACTGAAATACACAAGTACATCAGACAGTTTTCATAGTTTTTTACAGAGGAAAGTGGAAAGAAGAGTGCTTTTCATTAACCATATTGCTTTGCAAAAGACAAAAAACTAATTGCTTCACAGAGTAAAAATATAAATCTTGTGACTATAAGAACATTAAAGTACTTTTTTTTTTCTGTTAACAACAGCATAAGCTCACCCTCCCAGGTTGAGAGAAAAATAAAAGGTTTTAAAGCTACGATATGTTTTTGATTAAAAAATAGTAATGATAATAATAATAGCAAAATGTTATTAATGAGAGTGCAAAACCAAAAAAAAAAACTTTTCCAAACCATGTCTTTACCTGAATACATTTTGATAAACCTATAAGAATTATTTATATTTAAGAACTGTCGGGACGGATTTCATACATTTGCATATATTTGTTTTTCATCACATTTGGTGCAGGCAACTGTAGATAATGCTGTTGCTCTTTATTGCTGGCCAAGGTACTGAAGGACATTGAGCAGGTGTTGATATATAAATGTGGGTGGTCATATGAAGAGTTCATTTGCAAAAACCGATAAACGCCACTTTAAAAAAAAAAAGAGCTGATTGCCGTGCATTATTCTCCACATATAGCGTGATCTGAACCCTAAACACGTTTTGTCAAAAAAGCCGGTTTTGTCCACTTTCAGGGCATCACGAGTTCACGTTTTACTGCAGAAGCTGACAAGCGCCCTTGTTGTTTTTGAACAGAAGCCGATAA